TATGTGTACATACTGTACACATACTAAGCAATTATCTTTGGTTTTGTTTCTCTTATTCTTTATTGTGTGTCATGAGGCTTATCGACTTTATATCAGCCTTTAAATATTGTTAACTTTACATCATAGTATTTGCATTTAAGTCATGGGATATTGGGAGAAGGGTAAATCTCATCTAAGGACTTTACCTCCTCTTCTGAGAAAGGGATTAATGTGTTTTCAGTTGTACTCAGGATAGTTGCATCATGTTAGGCAAAACTATTATATTACTGCCCCATTTGAAGATTAAGTGTATTTAGGGAGATAGTATGGACACCAAGTTGACAAGGGTGGACTTGTGAAGGTTAATTCTAGGTGTCAACTTGATTAGATAAGGAGTGTTAAGAAACCTTGTAAAGCTATCTTTTTAGGTATGTCCATGAGGGTGTTCCCAGAGGAGATTAGCATGAGAGCCTGGGTGGGAAAGATCCTCCCTCAATATGGGCAGAAACCATCCAATCTGTTGGGGGCCCAATAACAACAAAAAATAGAGAAAAAAGGTGAATTTCTCTCACTCTCTGCTGGAGCTGGGATACACGCTTTTCTCCTGTCTGTACCTCACAGCTCCAGACTCTTCAGCTTTTGGGTTCCAGGACTTACAACAAGGACACCATCAGCTTCCCTCGTTTTGAGGCTTTCAGACTTGGACTGAGCTATGCTACTGGCATCCACTTTACAGACGGCCTATCATGGGACTTCTCTTCACAATCACATGAGCTAATTCCCTAATAAATCCCCCTCGTATAATTATAACATATCCTACTGATTCTGTCTCTGGAGAACCCTGACTAATACATCATGTGAACTCCAGGTGAAGGCTATTCCACGTGAACTTAGGCCTGGGAATGTTCCCATTGTGAGAACTTCCACATTGACTAGGGAATGAGAAATACTGAAGACTTTCCTTCCTGCATTCCTTTTAGTATTATACAGTGTAAAAATCTGTGTGTTCTGGGCCGGCCCGGTGGCGCACTGCTACAGTGTGCCACTTGGGAGCGTGGTGGCGCTCCCGCCGAGGGTTCGGATCCCACATACAGACCGGCCACTCACTGGCTGAGTGAGGTGTGGGAGCAACACCGAGGGTTGCGATCCCGTTGCCGGACACGAAAAAAGACAAAAAAGAAAAAAAAAAAAAATCTGTGTGTTCTACAAATGTTGCTCTATGAGTAAAATTTTTTTTAATGTTTATTTTATTAAATAGCTATTCTAGCATAAATTACCTTGTGTTCTCCAAAAAGCTTCCTGCTTCTGCTAGATTTTTCTGCCTTATGTCTTGTTTTATACTGAATTTCATTGTTCATTTCCAGTGGATGTGTAGTAGTTTCTGGATTGTTAGCTAGTACCCCCCACAGATAGAATTTAATCAGTGAAGTCCACTGTTTATGTCTGATTCCCTTTGCCTTTAATCTTGCAGATTTCACTCACTTCCAAAGTTCCTTATGTCAGCACCTATTTTCTCACCACCTGCAGTGAATGTGCTTTGTATATGTGTAATAGTTAGATTCCTTTGTCACATTCTGCATTTAATTCTGGGATACTCTGACCTTTTCAGTGATTTGTTTCAATGTGCATAAATACAGATTTATTCTTTGTGCTGTAAAATTCTGTGGGTTTTGACAAATGCGTGGAGGCAAGTATAAACCACCAAAGCCTGATACAGAATTCTTCCCCTATCAACCTGCCACCACATGTTCCAATTGCAACATTGTTTTTTTTTTTTTATCATCAGTTTTGTTTTATCTCTCCCAGGATGCCATATTAACAGTATGACACAGTATGTATGATACAGTATGCAGTCTTTCAGACAGGCTTCTTAAAGCTAAGCAATATGCATTTAAGATTTTTCATGTTTTTGCATGTTTTAATAGCTTATTTCTTCTTTTTTTTTTTTTTTGAGATTAGGATTACATTAAATAGATGAACCACAGTTGGGTTATTCACACACCTACTAAAGGTAGGTATTGGTATTTCATTCTTGGTATTTCTTTTCCCTAGTGAAAAATAATGGTGAACATTTTTACATGCTTATTTGCCTTCTTTGGTGAGGTAACTGTTTGTATTTTCACTCTTTTTTTGTGTGTGTGTGTGTGTGTGACCGGTAAGGGGATCGTAACCCTTGGCTTGGTGTCGTCCGCACCGCGCTCAGCCAGTGAGCGCACCAGCCATCCCTATATAGGATCCGAACCTACAGCGGGAGCACCAATGTGCTCCCAGCGCCGCACTCTCTCGAGTGAGCCACAGGGTCGACCCTTCACTCTTTTTTTTAAAATTGAGGTGTTTGTTTTTTATTGTTGAGTTTTATGCATTCTTTATATATTTTATATACAATTCCTTTTTCAGTATTTTATTCCAGTCTGTGTCTTGGCTTCACATTATGTCAAGAGTTTCTTTGCAGAGTATAAAATTTAGTTGTAATAAAGTTATCACGCACACACACACAAGAAAAGATGACGGCCGTGGGTGCAGGGGTCTGAGCTAAAAGTCTGGATGTCCCCTGCCCCCTCCTCTTCCTCTTCCTCTGTAGCAAGGGGCCTTTGCAGACTAGGACCTCCTCCTCAGGGGCCACGCTCTGGAGCTCCCAGGCAGGGCAGCAACAGCACACGCCCAGTGAGGCTGGCTGACCAGCAGGGCAGGCAAAGCTACACTTCTTACCCTATCCTGAACCCAGCTTTTGGGGGCACTGGCAAACTTAGAAAGTGGTTGAAGAGAAGGAAGGCCAATTGCAAGGACAATGAGGTCATTCATATTTTTAAGGCACTTTCTGGTTCCTAAGCCTTTTTAAACTCATCTGATTCTCATCAAAATGTCCTGTAATTGGCATTGATACATATTTCTGCCATTATTGTATTCAGATAGGTACACAGATGGGATAATTTGATTGGGGTATAATAAAGAAGTGATCTTGAGTAAAAATCACTTTATTTTAGATCACTATATTAAGAAAATTATAAAACTCCTTTCAATGGAATATTTAATAACACTCATAACAGGTTAAGATAAATTTCTACTTAAAAAGAGATTGGTTCTCTTAAATTAATCCCATAAGAAAAAGCATGGTTGTTGTCAAGTATACTGGAAATAAAATGTTACATTCTATTTGGCCTGAAAGATATTGAAACATAGGTTAGTGTTTGATTTAACTATGAGTTATACATCAAATACAGATTAAAAACTGCTTTCATGTCCTGCTAGGTAGGATTATTATGTTTGGTTCTGTAAGATACCCAGCCAGTTCAGTTTTATAAACTTGCTGTGTTGTTTCTAAGTGGCAAGAGACAACGTTTCAAGCTGCTCTGCAAAAACTTTTTTCTGCACATAACACATTTTGGGTGTGTTGTTGAGTGTCCGTTTCCTTGCTGTGGTCATCTGTAAGCCCTGTCCCTGCAGTCTGGAGGGTTGGGTGGCTTTTTGTTCACATCAACATCTCCCCCTCATCTCTAGCCAGTGTACTCTTTGAGGGCTGCTCGCACCCTGCTCTTGGGGTTCACTGATCTGGACCCCCAAGGAGAGGCACCAGGGACAGGGTCAGGGCTTCCTGACCTCTGTGTGGCCCCTGGATATGCCCCGGAGGCTCACAGGCTTTTTACATTTAGGAAGGTAAAACTATTTAAATAATTACCTTACATATTAATTTAAAAAAATAGAAATATTAATACCTTTCATGAAGCAAATCACCCCGTAACCCCCTGTCACACAAGCCCATTCTAGGTAAATGTTTGTTAAAGGGATGTTCCTGCTGCTGACTTTACAGAGGGGGACACGTGGCTCAGGTGATTGCTCAGGTCCCTGCAGGGTACACACGGGAGAGCTGGAGTCCACCTGCAGCCTGTCCTGCTTATGGGCCAGCTGCTCATCCCCTGGACTCTGGAACCCACAGAAGGATTTTGTGGCCCTTGGCCACATAATCATTGGTTCTGAGTTTTGCTCTGCTGGGCCAGCTGGAGGGACGAGGATTAACCATGTTCCGAACATCTGCTGGGGGCTTGGAGCTACTAAAACTTACAGAATATTACTTTCTAACAAAATTCACCATCGAGTGTAATGGGTCCCAGGATCAGTACCTGGCAGCTGAGGGGCCAGGCCTCACATTCATTTAGTAAGCTACTAAAATCTGAACGCAGCAGCCATTGGTCAAGATGGTTGTGAGGACGAATTGAGCCAGTCATCTCTGGATTAGTTAACCTTAGCCCAGTTCTGCCTTTTGAATGGACTCTTGGGCTCATATGTATGAAATGCCCTCCCCTTCCCTCTCCACTTGGTGATGTCTTCTCATCCTTGACCTCCCAGTGCCCAGGTCAGCTCCTTGGTGGCCCTGCACAGCCTGTGGGGCCAGCATGGTGAGCCCATCAGAAACACTGAAACAACTACTTGCAGGAAACTCAGCAGTAGTGATTTGAAAGAAAATATCAACCTTTTGATTCAGAAGCTTACTCTAGAGCTGCAGTGGGCAAGCTTTCCTGAAAAGTGCTAGTTAGTAAATATTTTAGGTTTTGTAGGCCACACTGTCTGTGGCTGCTACTTAGCTCTGCTAATGTAGTGCAGAAGCCGCCACGGACAGTAGCACATCAATGCAAGAATGTGGCTGCGTTCCAATAACACGCAACTTACAAAAGTAGGTGGTGGGCCATGGTTTGCTAATCCCTGCTCTAGAGGGACTTTAAAAAAAGGAAAAATTTACATCTAAGACTAATTACATCTGCAGAACATCTGTATACACGTCAAAGGGAACAACAGTAGTGATTTAAGGGTGGCGCGATTATTCACTTGTTTAAGTGTTTCAAATGAAACGCCGTCTTTACTTCAGCACTGCTATTTTCAGTGAAAACCTCCACACACGCACACACCGCCGCTGAGCGTGCACAGCTGTGCCTCTCATGTCTGCTGTCCAGGCTCCCCCGAGCCCACGGCCCACTGCCGCCTAGCCCTGCCCACCCCAGTGCGCACCGCCTCTCAGGAGTGGGTACCTTGTTCTCGTTGCTGGTCTCTCTGCTCCATGGACACGAGGGCAGAGAAGTGCGCTTGATCGTAGGCTAGGACCAGAGGTGAGCAGTGGCATCTATTGGGAGGGACCTCCAAGGGCAGGTAAATCCCTCCAAACGGGATGGGCGCGAATGCTGCGGACACAGACAAGGGGGGAAGTGAGGGCTGGGAGGGCCTGAGCAGCGGGGAGGAGCTGAGGGCAGGGAGGGTGGATGCAGATAGTGCTGAGGGACAGACAGAGCTGGGGGTTCCGGGATGATCTGCCCTGATGCCTGCTGCCCTGAGACCTGCGGAGGTGATCAAGAGCTGTGTGGTCAGGACGGCACAGTCATCCAAGATGGGCAGAAAAACCACGCTTTTCTGGGTGCACTTCTTCCTCTCCTAGTGCTCATTAAAGCGTTTGTATGCAAGACTATATCTGCACTTCCTGAGAGCGTGTTTGTTCTCTATTTTGAGAAACACTTCTATTGAATCCAAAGGAACCAACCAGAGAGCTCTAGGACCGAGCTGTAAGTCAGATGGAAAACGAGAGACAGGATTGGATCCTTTAGCAATGGGGACACAATTTTGTTCGTTTCCTTACTCACAAAAAAGAGGGAAGAAAAGCCTAACCCCCCCCCCACTGAAACAGAATAACTTCTGGAAGTATCTGCCCTAAAGCAGCATCTGCTTTTTCATCATAAAGAATCTTGCCTTTAGTCCTTAGAGTCAGTTGACCACTGTACTCTTTTGAGCAGAATGCAGGGACCGTCAACTTCAGTGACGTCTTTGATGAGCTCTTAGCATTCCTTCCCCACATGCACTTCATTTAAATTGGGCAGTGTGGTTCTGCTCACAGGAGAATCCTACTGAGAGGTGAGGGATGGGGGCCCACCTGCAGGAGGGCTGTAGGCAGAATGGAAAGAGGTGTGGACCCACCCTGAAGAGATCTGACGGTGCTGGGCCCTGGGCTTGCATGGCAGGGTCTCAGTGTGAGCCCTGGTACTGCGCTCCAGAGCTGTGGACCTCAGCAGGCCTGAGTTGCTGGGCCTCACAGGGTGGGAGGTGGCATCAGGCAGGACCTGTGTCCTTCCAGCTCCCTGCCCACATAGCAGTAGTGAGCACATCAGACTTTCTCTAGCAGGTGTGATTCAGCATAAAGAGCCATATCTTAATCTGTAGGACTCCCTGGAAGACCCATGACTTTTGTTAGAGCACAGGTCTAAACTTAAGTTAGGCTAGAGGGACATGTCGCTGTGCAACTCACTGCTGGCCATTTGCCTGGCAAGGAGACCTTCTTTGTGGATGATGTCACCTTTGGAAGTGACAAGAGGGGAAACATGGCACCAAAAGAGAACTGGCTCATGCTGGTGATGGGAGTGAAGGGAAGGTGAGAACAAACTAGGACAGGGGCTTGGTGGTGAGGGGAACTACTGTGTGTGGGGCAGCTGCAGTGGGGGGCATCTGGGGGGATCACTTGTTGCCTTCCTGGTCCACCATCCTGGCTCTTCATCTTTCCCTCCTCTTTACAGAATGTGGCCAGCCCTCTGGGCTCCTGTGACTCCAGGAAGCTGCAGGCTGGAGAAAGGACATGCCACAGAGCACTCCCTGTCCTGGTGGAAGGTGGCTGGGGACATTGCTTAGCCTCTCTGGCTTCAGTTTTCTTGTCTGTAAAGTGGGGAGGTTGAGGCAGGGGCTGGAGGAGGGAGCACTGGAGAAGCGGCCATGCACAGTGCGGGTGCTCCAGGCCTTCCATGCCTCTCCTTTTGCCAGTTCCAGCTCTAGCACTGCCTTGTCCACTGACTTCAGCTCTCTGTCTTCCTTTCCCTTCTCTTCAACACGTGTGATCTGCAGAGGGGTGGAGGGGACTGAGCAGCCCTGGGGCAAGTCCCCAGCCAGTGGAGGGGTGAGGGCTGTCTGCCACACTCTGAGCACACGATGGGGGGCTGGGGGCAGAAGCTCCTCTGCACTTAGTCCTGGCTATGCTGCTGACACACGGGGTGGACGGCCGGGAGCAATCCCTGCTGCCATCGGGAGGAAGAAACATGTCAAGTAGAGGAAAAATGAGATCTGTGGCCTTCTGGGAACTCAACCTTTGCATCACATTGTCTGTTCTGTAACTGGATGTCATGCTTTCTGGGTCATGAGTAGTACAATACATGTCTTCGAGGAACTTACCTTCTCCACCTGAGTCTCTTAACATCGTATCGGCCACCACAACGATCGGTCTTCTTAATATATGGGCTAAGACAAAAACATGGAACTCTTCCAGGCTCTCGTACACTGGGTCCTCAGAGTTGTCCACGCTAGGAAACAGAACAGAGCAAGGCTGTCACTGGACTAAATCAGGAGGGGGACGAAGAAAACAGATAAGACCTGCTTAGGGGCTGAGCATATTCTCATATTCTCTCTGCCACCCTCCCCATGGCACTTCCATTGTCCCTCTGAGGCCCCTCCCATGCCGTCTGAGGCTCCTCCCACACCCTCCACCAATGGTAAATGCACTTGTCCCAGCTCTGCACGCTTGGTTGGGTGTTCTCAGGAGTCAAGTTAGAGAGAAACTGCAGGTGAGGGTTGCTGGTGATCATGCAGACAAGGAGGTCTCTCTGAAGGCAGACATAGGGGTGTTTAGCAAGGATGCAGCAGGGGCTGGGGGACTGAGGCCTCCTTTTCCGGTCACTTCTGCACACAGCAGGTTAGGCTGCAGTCTTATCCATCAGGGACTCAGGGATGCCAGGCACATCTAAGTAATGGATGCTGGAGTCCATTACTATCAAGAACCGAGGAGCCTTCAGGGAAATACCCCTATGGAAGAGGATGGTGAACAGGCTGCCCAGATTTCAATCCTCAGAGTGGGTGGGGGGAGTGATCTGAATGTGCAACCCAGGTTACTGGACCCTCCCCCGCCTGCGCCCCTGGCTCACGTCTGAGGCTCAGGGAAAGAGCAGGCTCCAAGAACTGCTTTCACTCAGATTATAAGACATTTGGGCAGAAGGCTGTGGCCTTGATGTCCCTCAACAGCAGGGCCACCCCAAAAGGAAGAGCACATTGAGAAGGGGGCCAAAGCTCACAGCATGATGTGGCGCTGGCTGCACTCAGTGGCTGTCAGTGAGGTGGCAGTGCCCAGTTGAGACCACCCACGTAGCTCAGGCTTGTTCCTGAGCAACCTGTGGGTGCCCAGAAGTAACTGAGAGAGGTCTGTGAGGACAGGAGCAGGGGAGACCAGACCCAGCAAATGCGGACTGTTGGAGAACAAAGCGGCATGGCCGGGGGATGCAGCTCTATCTCTAGCTTCCAGCCTCTGTCAGTGACTTCTGGAATAGAAGCTGTGACCCTGGGTAATGCATCAGAATCACCTTGGGAACTTTGGTGTTTCACTGCCTATAATTTTTTCTCATTTATTCTTTTGTGTGTGTGTGTGTGACTCATTTTACCTTATTTTAATAGTTGAAAAAATTTGGCAGCAATCAGAAACTCACAAAAAAGTTGTATGTATAGTAAAAAGAACTTTTTTCCCTGAACCATTTGAAAGTAAATTGCCAGTCTGATGCCCCATCACCCTGGAAGGGTTGAGTGTATATTTCCTACAAACAGGACATTTTCCTGCACAACCATAACAGAACTGTCAAAATCAGGAATTAACACAGAGGCAGCTGATCCCCAGACGCCATCCACGGTGTGCCACTCGTCCCAGCACTGCTTTTCAGAACAAAGGCTCTAGGTCAGGATCACACTTAGGTGTTCTGTCTCTTTGGTTTGCTTCAGCCTGGAATGTTTCTCAGGATTTCCTTCACTTTCATGACCTTGACACGTTTAAAGGTTACATGCCAGGTATTTTATAGAATGTCCTTAAGATGGGCTTCTCTATTTCCCAGGATTACATCAGGCTGGGTTATTCTGAGTCCTTCTCATGGCATCATACCAGGTAGCAAGTGAGGACCTGCGGGCTGTCCCATCACTAGTGATGCTGACTTGGCCCGCTCCTTAGGGTCACCGCCAGGCTTTGTCCTGCAGAGCCGTTCCTTTTCCCTTTGTAATTAACAGGCATTTTGTGGGGAAGAGCTTTGAACCTATGCAAATATTCATTCCTCACCTTTATGCTTTATTGGTATCACTATGGATTTCTGGTTTTCTATTTTATTCAACGAGTTGTAATCCATTATTGTGATTATTTTGATGTTTAGATACTCCTGTTTGGTCTGTGTGGCTTATTTTGGCTGGATCTGCGTCCGTGATATCCCCCATCATTTCATAGAGCACTTCCTTGCTTCCGGGCACAAGGAGACATTCCAAGTTCACACTTACACACACACATACACATTTCGTCTCTCTCTCTTCATCCATTCATCGATTCATCTACCTATCAATATTTATAGGAAACTTTGAGTTACAAGTAGAATTTATAGAAAAAACTTGAGTTACAAATAGAATAAACTTTGTGGAGTTGGATTGGAACTGGAGGTTGCCCTCTTCACCCTGTCTGGCTCTGACATCCGGCCATGGCCCTTCCTGTCCTCCCACCCCCCACCCCACCCACAGCAGATGCCCCCCTTGCTTTGCCTTGCCTGATGGCTTTAGGACTGGAATTTTTTAGCAGGAGAAAGGAAGTGGAAGAGAAATGTTGTAAATACATATTGATTAAAAAAAGTATGTATCTATACACACACATGCCAAGTCTAAACACAATGGCTGTGCATTTTCAAACATTCCAGGTGATTCTCCTGCCCAGCCACACCTAAGGGCCAAGCCGCGGGTGACTGGGGGCCAAGTGTTTCTGGAAGTTGCTTGCTTGTGCCTGTCACACAGTAAGCCCTCACTGAGTAAGTGCCAGGCAAGTGGAAGGATGAACAGGATACCAGGCAGCACAAGGAGGGGAGAACCGAGAGTTACGAGCTGCACTCTCGGCAATAGAATATACCCTGGTTAGAATGGGGAGCGCTGCTGCTTCTTTAATTCAGTAAATGAGAGGTCAGCGTTGGAAAGAGATGAGCTGTTTATGAGCCAGATATTGATGCTGAAAAGAAGGAAGGGCAAGGTGGAAGGCAGCCCTGTCAGCCCTGGCCTCTGAGCCACATCTTCATGACAGAACACTCTGGTACTGAGTAGCTATGCAGAAGGGGCCCTCTGGTAACGACAGTGCAGAGACTAAGGATTAGGCACCACTGTACTGGCATGGCATTCTTCTCATGCAAAACAAAGCAGGGCCATTGTATTTCAAACTGAAAAACCAACGAATATTTATTGAGCACCTACTATATGCTGGTGCTGTGAAAGGCACTGCAGAGGCCCTCAGGTAACTCTTACCTTCATGTAACATCTACCTATCCATCCATCTGTCCGTCCATCTTTCCATTTATCTATCCATCCATTCATCCACCCACCTACCCACTCTCATCTATCCATCTACCCACCCACCATCTGTCCCTCTCTCTGCTTTTCTTTCCTTCCCTCCCTCCATCCACCTGTCCATCCATATACCCACTTGTCCATCCATCCATCCATCCATCCGCCCACCCACCCGTTCCTTTATACATCTGTCTATCCATCCACCTGTCCATCTGTCCATCCATCCATCCTTCCACATATCTGCTGTCTGTCCTATCTACCCATCCACCTGTTCATCCATCCATCCGTCCATCCACTCACCCACCTGTTTCTTCATCCATCCATCTATTCATCCATCCACCACTCATCTGTCCATCTGTTCACCCATACCCAGTTCTGTACCAGGGCCAGAGCATGAAGTTGAACTACACCTACAGCATGGAGCCTCATGGCTAGACTTGGGCAGCTGTGAAGGGGTGGTTGGCCCAGCTGGGAGTAGGTGATGGAAGAGAGCCTAGGGCGGAGCAAGCTTTCTGCACTCCAGTTTTGTGGGTGAGCATGGGTGCCATCCGGGCAACTGCAAATCTGCTCAGTGATACAGGAGTGGCAGAGAGGGTCCCAGCCACAGCCTGCGGTAGTTTGAGAATCATTATGCCCTTCCTGACTTGCTTCCAGCTCTTGTCGCAGGGCTTAGCACAGGTCCTGGTTCTGCACTCACCCCTCAACAGCATGACCATGCTCTAGTGCTAGTGCTTCTGGGAGCCTCGGTGTTGAGCGCAGCCAGAAAAAAATGGCTCAGCTCCTCGGGTTCTACTGAGGGGCAAATGGAATCACATCTGGGACAACCATGACCTGCATGTGTGAGTTACTGCAGTCAGCCCATTGGGAGAAATCTGCTCCAGCAAAACCAGTCCTGAAATTCATTCCCACTTTTAGACCTGTGGCTTCACATCTTCCTGTGAGCTTACTGAGCAAATGCTAGACCTGAGGCTATGAGCAGAATCTGGCTTCTGGCCAAAGATATGACAATTCCTGAAATGCTTAATAATCAGTGTTTACTGCTAAGAAGACTAAGGTGCAATATAATGAAGTCATCCTCAAAGATGTGCATGCCCCGAGAACTTCCTAACACGTTCTGTGTACTGGGCTCTCCAAGGCACCCTCCTTCTATTCTGCAGTGCATACCTGAGGAGAGGGAATTCCTGGGAACAGAGACACCCCGTGCACCCAATGAAAATGCCCTGAGGAACATGGGAGGTGAAAGTGCCCTGGGTAGAGGCCTGCCACGGATGACTGCCTCCTGGCAGGACCAAGAAGTGAGGTCCAGATGGCATCTCAGGTCTCAGAAAACAGTGGCAGAGTGCAGACTTGGGGACACCCTGGCTTAAGTTGCAGCCACAACTCTTAGAGACCACTCTCAGCAAGAACCCATGTCACAGACAAGGAAGGCTGTCTGGGGGGCCGGCAGGTCTTACTGAAGGGCAGTCACCCAGCTTCACAGAGGGGGAGCTTGGGTGTCACCTCCCAGGCCCATCCCTGCATCCCCCCCCTTCAGGTGGGGTGACCATACCTTCCTTTTGCTCAGAAAATCCCTGCTTTACATGTCCCAAGTGGTTAGTGCCCACTTTCCTTCCCTAGAATGAACCAGTCTGGATGATAAATTGCAATCACCCCATCTATGGGGATGAAGCCCCTGGTTTTTGGTGCACCCTTCCATTTATAAATTTAAGTATGTGTGTGGGGGCGTGTGTGTGTCCACACACACATATGAATGTGTATATACACTTATTTAGACTATGTACACATACCTCCCATGACACTAGTTATTCTGATCCTTGCTTTTTCCTCTCCTAGTGTATTCCCAAGACACCCCCTGTGTGGCATGTGTTTGCGCTCCTCATCCTGTTCACAGCTGCTTGGTTCCCCTCATGCATAGACCCTGACAGCAGCATTGCTGAGGGGTGTGATTGGCCCACCCCAC